TGCAGTTTTGTTTACAGTATTTATGCTCAGACTCACATTACATGAGTGTAAGAGAAGGTTAGCTCCTTCATCAGGTACAGTTATTATCTTTGACTTATGAAATTATGGAGACCCTTGAGCATACGTGACCCACTTTTTGCCAAATAAAAACACTGTTATCTCATTGGAATTTGGGGGAAAATAAACATTTGATGACAGTTTGCATTTGAGACTCCACACTCTATAAAGGCCCAGCAGATGCCAGTAAACAACTGCACATCGCTCTTTGAGATAATATGTTGTCATTGGTGATTGGGCAGCATTGGTCTCTCGTGGCCCTGTGGCGAGTTGGAAGGGCTTCCACACTACACGGCGAAACATGCCCCCTGAGAGCGAGGCCAGCTCCAACTTGCAGAGCTACAATTTGGCTAGAGAAAGAGAGGAGGGCGGGGAGAGGTAGGGAGGAGGCAGGATGAGATCTTGTCATGGTGCCCAGTGGGTTCTGAGCTTGTGGTTGGAACGCTGGAAAAACTGCCTTGTCTCAGTGATTAATGGAGGGGGAAACTCTGAGGCAGCGGCGCAGGAGAGAGGAAGGATTGTGCAATGTGAATACACAATACTGTAAAGTTTTCAATGAATCTAAAGCCCAGTTTAATTTAAATGCATAATCCATCTCATTTTTTTCTATTTGGCATGGGAATCCATAATTAGGAAATACAGTTTTTTTTTTAAGTCTTTGGCTTTAAAAATGAACAGGGTAAACACTGCACATGATTACAATTTTCCTAAATGTGTTTATTAAGCATGTTCAGTATGGAAACATTCATCAAAAACAATGGGGAAACTCACTAAATGTATAACAACTTATATAAAGTAGATAAAAAAAATAATAATGAAACTTGAACAATGATCTCCTCATTTCACAATTTTAACACTTCACACAAACAATTAGCTATGAAAAAAATACTACCACCTGATAATATTCAAGGAACAAATTTGCTTGGAAAACAACACAAATAACACAAAAAGAAACAGTATTAGTTGTTCAAAATGTCTGTGCAAAAAAGTTAATATCTGCAATATTTCCTTGCTGTAACTTCAGGGCTTGCAAGCATATTCACACTTGTGTTCAACTTTTGCACATTTTGTCATACTACACCCCCGCACGTCAGTGTATTTTATTTATGTACAGTGGAACTAAAATGAAACAATACACAGCTTGTATTCAGGCTCCTCTGAGTCAATAGTTGCAATTACAGCAGCAGGTTTTTTTGGGTTCTGTTTCTACCAGCTTTGCATCTAAAGACTGAAACTTCTGACCATTCATCTTTGTAACAAAGCCCAAGTTCTGCCAGAGAGCATCTGTGAACAGCATTTCCAAGTCTTGCAATGGATTTTGTACTTCACTATATACTGGCCATCTGTTGTGACAATACAAAAGACGCAGCATGCAGAAACTTTATGTGGCATACAACTGAACAACTCATGTAGGTTATTCCTTAAAATGCCTACATGAAGTAGGGCTCCCCACATGTTTGTACATAAGGCTATACCCACATGCCCAGGAATGTTACACATAAATGCATGTGTAGGTTATCTGTCTCATGAAATAATATAGCCTACATAAATTGCAATTTTAATAAACCCTGCACTGAGGACAGTCAGATTTACCTCAAGATGTGGAACCACTGCAACAGTGGTTCCACATCTTTGTGACTCAGTGAACAATATAATGTTTTTATTGTGTGTCTTGAATAAAGAGATGATGATGATGATGATGATGATGATGATGATGATGATGATGATGATGAAGAACAGCATTTAGAGCCCCACTGTACTTCGACTGTCCACCATTTAAGTGGACTGTCGTGTCTTGGCGGGTTTGCAGGAAGATCTAGATTCATCTAGAGATTATGGATTAGACATCTCAAGAGGATGCTGCAAGCTTTTGCAAGACCTCAGAGGCTTGAAATATTGCTTCATAACCTAGATTTGCTTTGAGATTCTCCATAACATTCGTGGAGAAATGTCACAATTTGTGTGACTTTTGATTATGGTGTTTGTTCACTGATGTTCTCTAACACACTTCTGAGGCTTTCACAGAATGAAATTACTCACATGTAGACTTCACTTTGAAAATATGTCAATTTTGATAGCAATTTGGAGTATTTTATTTTGGATTATCATATTTAATTGAGCTTGAATTTTTATGTAAAAAAGAAAGATTGAAAACCAAGTGTTTGGTTTAATTTCAGCCACACAACTGTAAATTGCTTTGTATTGGTGTAAAATCCCAAGCAAGTCCATAAAGATTCATGGAAAAAAAAATCTAAGTGGTATGAATACTTTTGGAATGCGCTGTGAATAGCTGTGTATAACGAGTTCAAAAATCCTCCTTCATGCAAAATTTTTAAAGACATGCAGTCTTCTCTTGCTGTGCCTATAAACACGGAGAATATTGCACTGCTCTCTTTTAATTAAGATGTGCTCATATAGTTTAATTAAAATGTTTCATTTTATGTTTCAGTGAATGGATGTGGTAAGTAGATGGCATTCCTGGGATGCTGTTCACACATCCTTCAGTCTTTTATAAGTAGCTGAAGGTGAACAGGAGAAGAAATATGTTAAAGGACCAAAGGGAGGGCCTTTATAGGTCCTCAGAGCCAGTTTGAAATGCTGACTTTCTGATGACCTTCTGTATTTGTGTAAGAGGGGGGTGGACCATTCGCAACAGCTGGAAGCATGCAGTTTAGATAGGACATGTCTGCAGGGTCAAACAGAGAGAGCATTGCGTGATCCATGGAGTGTGGCTCCAAGGAAGAGGAGAAGGAAGTTCTGACAGCACACGCTCCTGGGAGCCCCATGTGCAGCTCGCAAAGGGAATCCTGGGACAAACCTGTCGCTCTGCCATACTTTTGCTCCTTCTTAAGCTTCATCCTGCGGTTCTGAAACCAGATCTTGACCTGACGGTCAGTGAGTTGCAGCCTGGCTGCCATCTCTTGTCTCCAGTGGCGCCGCAGGTAGGGGCTGAAGTGGAACTCCTTCTCCAGTTCCAGCAGTTGGTCGTTGGTGAAGGATGTCCTCTCTCGCCTCTCTCCTCCGCCTGCAGTGCTAGATGGCCTACCGTCCTTGGCTGAAGCTGGAGATGAACACAGAAAGAAACAAAGGTTTAAACAGGAAGCACAATGAGTGTAGCATCTCCATTTGGGAGTCCTCGGGTACCAGTAAATCCACCTCAATCCTCAGCTAATCGACCAGAGACCAAGCGGAGCCCTCAGTTCCTATTCAGTCTTGCTCGAGACTCCTAAACAAGACTGGCTGTCTAGTGTGTCATGTATTCGGGAAAAGTTCCCTGCCGAAGAGGCAGTCTGGGGAAAACATCTGACGCCACCACGGCTGCCTGACAGGCCACATTAATCAGCGCTCCACACAGAAGCAGACCTGTCAAATTCCCATCTCAGTCACTTAAAAGGTACCTCGGGAGCACCACTGAAAATAGCTGCCATTAGGGATTCAGTTTGACATGTATATGAGCAATACCAGGGCCTTCTCGATAACAATATGACACAGAGGGGTTAATGGATGTTTAATAAGACCTATAGTTAGTACATTAGACAGAGGAAGGTGCCGTCTTTAACATGGCTGACTGTTTCCTTGTTCTTCACCGAATTGTTTGGGAAGTCGGGAGAAGTTGATTCGGTCTAATTTATATAAAACCAATTCACATAAACTCACATCTCTAGGGATTTTACAATGCAAAACGTTCCCATCTGTCTCTTGTGTACAGTATCTATACTGATCTAGATTAAATTAAATTTACATCAACTCAACCAAATTAAATTACAAGAAAGGTAATTCTGTGGCAATTTACCAGCTCAAATCAGTCAATTCCAATCAAACTTCAATGCAGTCAGTTTAAATTAGCTTCCAGTCAGTGTAATTTATTGCAATACAATCCTGTCATAAAGTGAGAATAATTATGTACAATGAACTTGCATCTTTTATTTTGAAATAAAAAAAAAATCTTATATTATGACAGCAAAAAAAGCATAGCTGTTTGGTCACATCTATCTCTGCAGTATTCTTTATCTTTGCTGTCAAATGACTGTGCGCACTTGCAACATAATAATCTGTTGTGCACATGTGTTAGCAAACAAATGATCATAACAAGTGACTATAGCTCATGAGCAAGTGTTTTTTGACAAGTGAGAAGCAACAAAAGACAACATAACTATTCCTTCAGTTTTTACTTTAATAAGTAAAGATATTAGAGACGCACAATATCTCAAATCATAATCAGTGTGTGGATTCTAATGTGCACAGTTCTTGTGCAGTTCAGTTGCAAAAAAAAAAAAAATATTTCAATGTTTATGAATAAGTTAGTCAGAATAAACTAAGGAATGAATACCTCCTTTTTAGTGATCTATCTACACACCACAAAAGGAATAAGAAGATGGTTTTGTGGTGTGTAGATTTCTCAACATTCTTAATATATTTCAAACCAATAATTCAAGTTATTCAGAATTGTATTTAAGTTGTTTGGAGTTTTGGATTAAACAAAATAATATATGAAGTCACAGAGAAAATATCACAAAAACATTCTAACAGGGATGAAATATCGGGCCACCACAGGCATGGACAAAGTGTTTGCTTTGACTGAACCAATGTCAAAGCAATCCTGTGTCAGTCTTTAGAAACACAGTTATGCAGATTGAAGTTCTAAACATTGCTTTCTAATTATATGATTAGTTTCTTTGAAGTACTTTTCACTATCCTTTCTTTACAGCCCAGAAGTTTCTCTACAGCCATAGATCTACGTCTGTCACGTCACATCTTCATCAAGTGATCTATGGGTCCAAAGAAAACTCAGGAAAGTGGTGGGGACATGTCACATTTTCCTAATATGTGCAGCTTTAAAACACATGAAAGAAAAGTACTTACTTGACTGTTTGGAGCCAATTTTCCTTGACTTCATCCAGGGGAAAATGGCCCCAGAGCGGCAGATGCTGAGACTACATCCTCTGCTATTCGGCTCCAGCTTGTCTTTGGCATGGCTGGAAACCACAGGCTCCAGAGGGCACTTGGAAAGTTCATGTGGGTTCAACCTGGAACTGAAGGGCACAATAGAGGTCAGGTTTGGCTGATCGGGTCCCAAGTCGGGGCCTCCTCCTACTCTTCCTCCCCTTGCTACTTCAACACATCCCATGCTAGGTTTTGGCACATGTCCAGAGCTCATTTCAAAACTGTTGCCATGCAGTTGCAGAGGGAGGGCCGCAGACTGTTGGGGGTCCATGGACCCCGCAGCTCATCAAAGTGGCTAAAATCAAACTCAGAAGTCCCTCAGCAGTAACAAAGCAGAGGTCTTCTATCCGCCTAATATCAGATCACAATTAACTGAATGAATAAAGGAAGGCAGGACAGAGCATTTGGGGCTGGAAACTAAGAGGAACGCTTTGAATAATATTTACCAGAGGGGGGTACCTTGGTCACGTGTGCCAGTCCTCCAATGGCAGAGCTCTGGAGTTGGAAACTAATCCTGCTGGGAACTTGGGGTGCCCGAAGAAGCTTCTGAGATATTTCTTCAGACATTTTTTGCACAAATTCCGGCTTCTCCTTATCAAGGGATCTGGAAAAAAAAGGAGAATGAAAAGAAAAACAAACAATAAAATAACAATAAAAGAATCAGATAACGGGATATAAAAGACGCCAAGATGAAAGCACGAGCGGGATGCGTTCAAACGGAGACAGGGGGAGACAAACAAAGATGACACACGTGTGCTGAGGAGAGTTGTTTCAAACCGAGCTCTTTTCATGGTAAATTCTCCAGGATAAACTGGGAGAGGCGCGTCTCGCCGCTGAACACCCTGTGGTAGGTTTAAGCTGCAAGAACTCGCAACATCAGGATGATGCAATAATACGCGGTTACTGTTTAACAGTCGGAGCTTATTACGCGGCTAGAAATGAGAGACATTAAAGTGCAGTGTGCGCTGCTCCCCCTCCCTCGCCCCCTCTCAGACAAACACAATGACAAATGTTTTTCTGCCTCTTTTAATGCTGGCACCAAAAGGTAGAGGGCTTTAAGTCTCCACTATATTTCAGATTTTTTTTTTTTCAAATCCGCAGGAAAATGTGACTTCTCGTTCTAAATTGGCGGGCTTTCCCCTTTTCATAACATATGCTTCTAACTGTCCGAGTGCAAGTACAGCTTATTAGGATTCAATGGGAGTGGTCAAACAAAAGGCTTGTGACAGTCATTGCTGCACAAAGACAAAGGAGGCTATCATTAAAGGTTTTCTCTTTTTTTTTTTTCTCTGCAGGACGACTCATTTACATTTTTTTTCTGGCTTCATTGTGCAATTTCGGTTTTTGTCAAGTAACAGTTTTATTTATTTATTTTACACTTAATCCCCCTTCTTTGCTGCACCGCTGAATTGGAAAATGGAAGAGAGATTGAGAGTATATAGCCAAGGCGTGCCTGTTTGCAGAGAACACAGGCCAACTGAAGGTGAAATGTGCTACAATAAAATATATGGACGTTTGGGAGTTTATTTTAAGAGGATGTAAATCACGTTTTGGGTGTAAAATTATTCTGTACCAAAAGCCCCAGCAATTGTGGTCGAAATAAACAGGATCAGAAACTCACTCACTGTGTATTTTTATTTTTTTTTAAATCATTTTCATAATTTCAGCAAAACACAAACGCATGCGAAAACGTGTATATACGTAAAATATTGCATTTTGCACAAATTCTACAAAGAGCAAATGTCCAATAAAAGGGCCTGTGCACGTAGTGGGCCCGAATCAATCTTGGTTGAAGCAAGCTTCAAATGTACCCTAAGTTCCTGCTGGTGTTTCACTGCAACAAAGCTGTCTAGAAAGCCCTCGTTAGATGTCTCAGAGGTGATGGATTATGCACTCAGGGCTGCAAAGCTTGTAAGGAGAGGAGCCTTCCTCCTTTTTTTTCTTTCTTTTTTTTTTGTTTTTTTGTTTTACGCGTCACCCTTAGTGCCATCATTATGAGGGCTTTACCTGCAACTTCAAAGTGTTTTAAGAAACGACAGGTAGACATTTTTTTTCGGGGGGAATAACAGAGAAAATAGATACAGTATTTTATCACACATAAAGTTTGATATTGGTTTAGTATAGCTGTTATTATTCAGTAATAGGCTACTTCAATTTAAAAAAAAAACAATGTGAAAATGTAATATCTACTTTCAAAATTGTTTGTGTATTATTATTATTATTATTATTATTATTATTATTATTATTATTATTATTATTATTATTAATAAACTTAGGTGTGGTACTGGGTGAAATGAGAGGAAAAGTAATTAAATTCATTGTGTTTTCCTTTCCCCTTGAACGCACTCTCTCTGAATTTGGAGATAGAATCTATGATATACTAGCTCAGCAAGACCATAATTTAGCTCCTCCGCGCCTCCACCACAATTCTCCGTGAACTCTGTTTGAACCGCCTGGGCGCCTATAAATCATTTTTTTCTCTCTCACACAAAAGCGCGCCGGTCGCTCTTGTGTGTCAACCCTTTTACAATTCCTCCTTACCTTCTGCGCTCCCGCGCCCGCCGACACAAACAAGCGAGGAAATCGTCGATAAACTTTTATTTTTCATACAAATAACGTACACACGAGAAAGAGAGAGAGAGAGAGAGAGAGAGAGAGAGAGAGAGGCAGACAGAGAGAGAGGGAACACGAGCTGCGGCTGCGCACAAGCAGGAGGCAAATCTGGCGGCTGAAAGCCAAGATTGTGTTTGTTTCCTCTATAAAATATGCATCCATGAAATATTATTTGCAATAAAAACAGAAAAAAAGCGTCATTGTTTTCGAGAGCTTAAGGAAAATAAGGATCACTTAATGCATGTCCAGGGGACATAGCTCTGTAGATAAGAGGAGACTGAAAGAGAGCTGGGGAGAAAACGTTAATGGGCAGAGGATGCTGTCGGTTAAAACGGTGCATACAAATGGCGCTGTCTTTGCAGAGCAAGAAGATTTATGGGCCCGGTGCCCTATGTTGCTGTAAACAATGCAGAGTGAAATGAAAGGACCAGAGTTTGCAGACTGCACTTCATAAGTAGAAGACACGCACGTGGTCTGTTTGGTACATGCAGGATTGTGTGTTATTAGTTGGTTGTTACTATTATTATTTTTCATAAGTATACCAAGGCACCAGTTTAAACCCTTCACTTTTTCTAAGGGCAGCGCTTGAATTTTATGTCATTGTATCTTTTTTTTTTTTTTCCTACAAAAAATGCTTAGCAGAAGTATACACAGTACACTATGCACAGTATAAACAGTGTAATCATATTTATAGCATCTTTGAAGAAGCTGTTTTCCCAACAGGGATTGTTTTGGGTAACTCCCCCCCTTGGAAAACACCTTTTTATACCTGCCACACCACAAAATATGCTAATATGGATAGGACACACTGAAAGACATCTATGACATTTGTGGGTGGTCATATTTTAAAATACTTATTACATGTTCAAAAATCCAAAATAAATAATTTTTTTGCAAAAGCTATTCAAATGTAAGCTTAGTCCCCTATTTTAAATTTTCCAATAGTTTTAATAATGTGATAATAGATCAAATGTTGCACATGTATGTGTGCGGAGACTTGTACAGAAATATTCAGCAGGGCAGCAGCGGATGCAACTGGTGGCACAGTAGAGAAATCATTGTCATAGAACAAATTAAATCTCTTAACCTGTACATAATTGAGAATCTATAGTCTCCTGTATTGCATATTCAGAACACTTGTGCTGATGAAAAGTGAATATCATAACCATAATTCTGTCTGGTGATTGTCTGAGCCCCCGGTGACACCTTTACCGCGGTAAATGGTTTTAATTTCTGGGGTCCTCAACCATGCACCAAATAGGCTAATTAAATATTTCTCAGTGAGGTGTTACACTGACATAAAGTACACTCGTAAGTTCACCCACGCCATCACTCCCTATAGCTACAGTATGTTAAATCTTCAGTGGTAATGAAAGCTGCTTTGTAGTCGTCCTGATCTCTCTCTCTCTCTCCCTCTCTCTCTTTCTGTCTCTCTGTATCTATCTGTCTATCTATCTATCTATCTATCTATCTATCTATCTATCTATCTATCTATCTATCTATCTATCTATCTATCTATCTATCTATCTATCTATCTATCTATCTATCTATCTATCTATCTATCTATCTAGCAATTATTCATTGAAAAACTGTCAATTAGTCCTTTAGTTTACTCCCAAGCTTTTATGCTTAGTATTAATAATACTTAATACCTATTAATACTAATAATACTTAATACCATACCTAGTGAGGCATAGCTTATGGACACAATTAGTTTTTGGTGAAGCTCTACGATGGGGACACTCTGGGTTGGCAACCATATTGTCCATATCAAAACTTTGACTACACCAGTTTTTCTCAGTTGATTTGGTGCACTTCTGAAGTAGTCCTTGAGATTTGTGAAACAGTAACTGCGTTTCTCAAAACATTTCGCGCTACAGGTAAAGCAACCATGGATTACCTGCAAAAGCCAGGTAATTTCAAAATATTTAATTAACCTCTCAAAAGCAAAAATAACATCTGTCTCAAATAACATATCAGCAGCACTAGAATGATAGTTCTTGTGGTACCAATGTGAGTCAAATTGCTTAGTCATGTTGTCAATGTTACAGTCTACTCTGGAGGGATGTTCTGTTGTAAACTGTGGCTTAAGTTCCATTGTAAATTATAATTGTGGGATATCAATTAAAGAGACCAGACAAGTTGTTGACAGACCTTGTCATTGTGATGCAGAAAAAGAAAGACAGCACTGTGAAGCACATAGAAAAAAAAAACTAAAGTCGAAATGGGAACACACGACAATCTCATCCAGGAAAACTAAGTGCATTGCTGTTGGAATTGCAGTGCAGTCTTTCTACACCGCCCATGGTGTTCCTGGCTTCTGGGATGCAAATTCTCATCCACATTACAAAGAATATCTTCTCTTGCAATGGAAAAAAAAGTATTTTAGAGTGTTTTCTCCATGCTTTGCAGGCATCCACTGTGATGTTCTCACATGATGCATTCATGACAGCGAGAAGTGTAATCTGTGTATGTGGCTGGCAGTAGTACACTTTCCATCTCAATGCTGAGTAAAAATTCTCAATGGGTTTAAGGAATGAAGAGTAGAGTCAGAGGAACTCCATCTGCATCCTGATGTGGGTCGCATACCATTGCCTGATGATGTTGGAGTGAAGAAAAAACTGGCATAAATCCTTGGCTTCTTCTTCTGTTTTGCCTATTAGCATCTCAACCACTCAGCTTCACTCTTCCTCTTCTTCTTCTTCTCGCTCTCTTGTTGACCCCATTATGAAAAGAACTTTGAACTATTTAAGAAAACTGATCGATCATTGGTTGAGCTAATGCTGCACATTTGCCTTCATTGGAGAAAGTCAAGATTCACCAGGGAGCAATTTGCTAATCCGGATTTATTTAGAGAAAACATGTAATGGAAATGTATAGAAACATGTTGCCATATTATAAAAACTTGTTCAAATATTTTGTATGTAAAAAAAATAATATACAAGCTTAGATTTAAATTTTGTGGTGTTTGAGAGTCTCCAACAGACACCAATAAAATACATTTTGATCAACATGTCATAAGCAACTGAAAGTGTTGGGGGAAAAAACAGAGAATGTTTAATCACTTGCATGAACGTTCAGAGGCATTTCCCAATGGAATGAGTAATTTTTGATGTTCACAAGTCACAATGATTTGGAGGCTGAACAAGGAGGTTGAAGAATTTCAATTTTGTTCTGGGAAATACATCAAAGCGACTGAGAAAAACTGTGATTTCTCTGTTGTTTCCAGTTAGTATTCAAAATGTTTTTTCAACGTTATTAAATCCATCTGCACCGCTATCACTAAACGCATATGTGCACAGCGTTCTGGTTTGCTCCCCCATATGTAAGCGCAGAGTTTTACGGATTTATGACACACCCTCCGCTGGTCAACGTGAGGCAGTCTCTCTTCTGTCCCTGGAAAATAGCAGCGTGACCCCTGTTTCAACTTTCTGTCTTTATACAGCTGCTACAGGGCTGCAGCTTCAGCACGCACACAACAACGCGACCAGCTTTCATCACAACCCTGAGTGGTTGAAGGAGCCACTCACCTGAGACGAGTGGGCAAACACACGTATAACCGGCCAGCCTGACAATGACCGCGGGTCATATAAACCAGGTGCGCGTCGGATCAGAAGTGGCCGGTGCCGTTTGGCGCTTGTTTAAACATCTCGATGGTTCCTCGAGTTAAAGTTTTTACACCTTCCGAAAGAAAGGAAAAGAGGGGGGGAAGAGAGGCCTTGCCGGAGGTGCGCCATAAATCACAGAGCGCCTGCAGCGGTGCAATGCGAGCCGAAAATCATGTGTGATTCAACAGTCTCAAGTCAGAGAAGAAGCCCGCTGGAGCTGAGTAACCGCTCAGGAATTTGGGCAGCCTACTGCAAGCTCACAAAAACGCACCGTGATCCTGCACGCTCTCCGGACAGGGAGAAATCGTGAATTTGCTAGATTACGACACATTCAGGCAGAGGGGGTCCTAATTGCGAAATACCTTAAATTAACGTTGCAGAACAAGCTTTCGCTAATAAGCATAGTGACTGAGTACATTTCCTGGTTAGGTAGGTGGCTTTTTAAAATTCAACATTACCTTTCGACTGGAGTGACTAACTTTACAGTCGATAGGTTGCACTCATTATATATTTATGTGAGAACAGTCATAAAAAGTACATGATGTTCAGTTTTTAACTTTTTGACTTAATAAAGACGAACGTGCGCGTAAACATCCAGGCAGAGGTCTGGTGTGCGTAGATGAAGCTAGTCAACAACAACAACAACAACAATAATAATAATAATATAATAATAATAATAATAATAATAATAATAATAATAATAATAATAATAATAATAATAATAATAATAATAAATTCTTTGGTTATGACTTAGAAGGCGCCAGATAATTTGTTTTTAAAACTTTTAAATATTACAGTTATATATATATATATATATATATATATTATATATATATATATATATATATATATATATATATTATATATATATATATTATATATATATATATATATATATATATATATATATATATATATATATATAGCTATTACACAGATCCATCATCGTCATGCAGAGCTTTCTTGATTCTCGGGTAAAGGAATATCAAGTTGTGCCTCAAGAACGCATTTTCTGCTTGACATTAATCTTTCCTAACAAGAGCTCAAACAAAAGGTGCAAGATGTTTTCGATGTTCAGAGTGGTAATTTGAGCTCCACTTGTAACCTCCAAGACTTTGCAGCAGGAAGACAGGTCAAATGTGTACTAACACAGAGACATGTGCGTTTGACTTTCACTGACAGCTGTTTACCTCGAGATTATAATGCACGCAGTCGAGCATTTTCCCCGTCCTTTAATCACTCACGTCGCCTGAACTGGGCTGGCAAAAAACTGCTGTTCTCTACGTAAAAGTAACTTGAAGAAACACAGACCAGTTGACAGATGCATTGCTTGGAAGTTACGTTTACATAATTGCATGGCAAAGCTAATCTAATCATTTCTCCTTCTTGCATCGGAGATTCTAAACTATGTCATAGACACTGCATCGAGTACATTTATTAGCTGGTAATAGTGTTGTATTTCTCTACTTTGCCTCCTGGAAGGCCATTTAGACTTGTGTCTTTGCACGAAACATTATGTCAACTTACAATATTGTTATTCAAGTTCAGTAACTTTCTTCTGCTCGGCTTGACAGTCTGGAAAGAAATTAAGAGAATTATTTTACATTTATGCAAAAGACCCGATAAATATATATAAGATACAGTTGATACACACAAGCATTGACTGACTGTCTCACATGTCAGAGTAATCTAATGTTAGCGTTAAATATTCAAGTATTTGTGGAGGTCTCATTGAAAAAGTTTCCAAGGAGTTTTTGTGTAAAAAAAAAAGAAGGGGGGGGAAAGCAACACTTGAAGGTCCTCGTTCAAAAACTAATCACAGTGACCAACTGTCCCAGTACTGTCAGAGACGCCTATAATTGGCAGCTGGATTTTGGACACCGGAGCCAACTTGGGAGCAGAAGTCACATGTGCGCAGCAAATGACACTATTTATAGCCGCAGCACCTTTTTATGAGACCTCAGAGAACGCCACTAATCACCGTAGTAAAAATATTCATCGAGTTTATCAAATTTGAGGCGCAATTGCGAGACATAATCTCAAGTGGTTATTTTATAATGCTATAAATTACGGACAACGTTTCTGCGTGCATTTGTGTCACTAAGAAGATTCACACCAGATGAGGAAAACGCGGATTTCCAAGCGCTGCAGCTCCGCTGGACGCACAGAGGAGCGCTGTCCGAGAGTTTAACACTGTCCGGTGTCACGGTGCTTAACAAAGGGAGCAACACATGCAGTGATGCCCCGCCGCAGGCCCCTTCTATACAGCCGCAACCCAGAAAGAAAAAAAAAACCCACAAAGAAAGCCGAGGCCAAGGGAGGACCGGCGAGGGCGCACACAGAAGGTACACGCATAGAAAGTGAGTCAGGTCACAGGGTTGGAGAGGTCGGCCATCCAGACTGAAATGAGCCTAATGGAACAGAAAATGTGTCCTCGGGATGAACTCGGCCTTCTCTCATTTCGCCCCCCAAACTTCAATGAAGCACCTTTTCAAGCCCCGCGACATGGAGGCGACAGGGCCGAGAAAAGGGGCTGGAGGGATGCTGCGACTGCGGAGAGCACATTAATTTTTCTAATCTGTCCAACAACATAAAGGCTCCTCGATTCATTTTTCAGCGCCGCCTCACCACCATTCTACTGCCTTCTGCGAAAGCCATGTCTCAACAGCATATTTTAACATGCTTGTGTTTGTGCTATATATGTGGGGGAAAAAAAACATAACAAAAACTCAATATTAAAGGGTCCAAACTCACATTTGCCATGCTTCAGAGTTATTCTGGCTGATACCGCACAACATTTGATGTTATCAAAACTGGCTATCATCACAGCTGTTTTCCAGGACATTATACAGAACTCCGTGGTGCAAGATTGATGATGGAAAATACCTCTTCCCTTTGTGTTGTTGTGCCTCCCACTACGCAAGGCATTTTATACGACCTATTCATGCCACAGTTTCAATAATCTATCAAATGCTTGGGCTTCTTTTGGGTCTGAGTCATGCTCAAATTACATTTATCTAACAGAAATAAAAACAGCAAACAAACAAACAAACAAACAAACAAACCAATGCAATTCAAAAAGATAAAAGAGTATAGAGAATTAAATGATAACCCTAAGTAGCTGCAAACAGTTCTAAAGTCTATTTTTCCCGGGATTGCAGGGACAATTCCGCATGTATTTTGTTGCTACCCAGAGGCACATGTGCATGCAGAAGTTAAAAGACACAAGAAACCATTAACACTCCTCCTCATGCAGGCCAGACTCTGACAACAAAGGTCAGCATCTTCGCTGTGATACATTTCACACCACACCATGCATTAACACTGAATCTGCCTTCAGTTCACATTTTAGTAACATTTTCATTTATTTCATGATGTGAAAACTCAGTCACATGGCACAGTGGAGCAATATAGAAAAAAAAAGAAAAAAGAAAGCAGGGTGACTGTGTGTGCGTGTGTTACAAAATAGCTATGGTACAAGCGTCTATCAATTCTAACATAGTACAAATGCAAGTTCTAAATTAAAAGCATGCATTTTGGTTTTCGAAGTCGAAAGTGGGGTTGGTTTGGTAGCACTGACAGAAAGCGGTGCAGAAGTGTACTGGATCGGGCCCTCAGTGGCTTGTCTGCAGGGCTAATTGAATGCCCTTCAGACTGATGAGGTTGCACGAAATGCAAGGAGCAAACTACTTATTTCTTTTCCATATTTTTGGGAACAGCTTCATTCTATTACGAGGAAGGCTGGACACAAAACGCACAAGCACACGTGCACGCACTCATGCACGCACGGAAACACACTTACTCAGACGCGCACACGTCATGTCTTTACACGTTGCTAATTTAAGGGCGCAGAAAAAAACGTCAGAAAACAGTGGGCATGTCGGGTATTTACATATCTGTACAGTTTTTAAACATCATCCCATAGCAGACCTCGTTTTAGCAAAAAAATAATAATTACTTCGAGCATACGTATGTAAAACTAGTAGACACTCACCGTTTTTATTGACCAATATGATAAGCACAAGTACACTAAACTCCGTTTATTGCATTTCACAATAGTCTGCTTTGTAACGGTCTAAACACAACATCAACACCACAAATAATAATAATAATAATTTAAAAAATAACAAAAAACCCAACAACAACTAAAAATGCAGATCAAAATCCCGTTTCTGAAATACACGAGGTAAAGTCACACATTGTTGTCATCCTAAACATACATGTTCAGAACCAATGCTGTGTTCAAGCTTCTTTTTTCTTTTAATATACCAAAATAATTATTATTATTATTATAGTGATATCCTTCCAGTGTTGTTTGAAATAAATAGATTGTGCATTTTACCTTGGGCAGCTGGGCAAAAAAAAAAAAAAAAAAAAAAAAAATGGCCCACAATAACATTTCGATAAAATGTATATTTTTTTTCTAGTTTCACTCCTTCATTTTAATAAAAAAAAACAAAACAAAACACCAGGATAACCGAACTTCAAATAAATTAAACCCTGTTTCACGTAAAAAAAATCATCGGTATTCGCAGTAATCCATGCTATATAACATGCATTTTTATATAACTTTGGACTTAAAGGAAACCGCACAAGATAGCTACGAAAACAAAATATATCATTGTTCTATAAATAACAAGTTCTCCGTGTACCCCAGGTGGACGGATCGTGGTTTTATAACCTGGTAATATCCTCGCCATGCTGTGCTCCTGTGAGTTCGTCTGGGGCCCCAGTGTTGGTGGCCGAGACAGCGGCTACTCCGCCGGCCGCAGAGCCTGTGTTGGACCCGGAGGAGGAGGACGAGGAAGAGGAGGAGGATCTCACTTTGGTGTTCGGCAGCCGGTGATCCTTTTTCCATTTCATCCTGCGGTTCTGAAACCAGATTTTAATCTGCCGCTCGGAGAGCACCAGCGTGTGCGCGATCTCAATGCGCCTCCGTCGGGTTAAATACCGGTTATAGTGGAATTCCTTCTCCAATTCCAAGACCTGCTGCCGGGTGTAAGCTGTTCTAGACCGCTTTGGCTCCGTCCCATTGTAACCAGAGTTCACTGGGAGGAAGAAGAAGAAGAAAAAAAAGGGAGATGTGGAGAGAAAGGGTAGAATGAGAAGGGAGAAAAAAAAGGAGGGGGTAAACAAAGTGAGATATGGCTCAGAAAGATTTATTAGACATGAATGTTTAGCTGTTTGCGGGAATTTAAATGGGAAGTTAAGAACTTCGCGTAATGAGAGGACACTCACACCCAACCATGATCTAAATTATTAATGCAAGATCACAAAGCTCTGATTTTTTTTTTTTACCCTTCTCTTCTCTTATTCATTTCTCCCCTCCTCTCTCTCTATCGCGCAATACATAACAGCAGAAGCCACATGGTGATACGGCTGCCCTGAGTATACCTCGGCTATAAAATTTATGGTGGGTGTAATTACCAATGCCGAGTCGTAAATCCGCCTCAATTGTGCCATTTCAAAGGCTTCCCTGCTATCGGAGCAGGGGCTGGCAACGAGATGGGAGTCAGAGGGGCTTGATAAAGGGAGGGAAGAAGGGGAGAGAGGAGCGTGAGTAGAGCAGGGGGAACATAAACACCACAAGTTGCCTACCAGTGCTGACGTGAATTTTCTTCATCCACGGGTACACCACGGGCTGTTTGGAGGAGGCTGTGCTGTTGGGATGCTCCGGGGTGGCTTGGTTGCAGGCGGAGGCTGCGGCCGGCGGGGTGGCGGGGGACATGGACAACTGTGGGGTCTCACATGACGCAGGCTGGCCCTTTCCCGTCAATAGGTGCGCGGAGTGGGGTATTCCGTGTCCCCGCGGCGTGTCGGGCTCGGGGATGCTTGCACAGTTATACTGGCGCTCTTGGTAGCTCGCCCGCGGAGGAGGGTATAACTCCTGGTGGTGATGCTGGTAGCCAGTGTCCCTTGCGCGGCTGTAATATTCTGGACTGTGCTCGGGGATGTAGTTGTTTTGCGAATATTCCTCGCATGGAGGAAATTTCGGATCAATGTAGTTAGACTCCATCAAATACGAGCTCATGATCATTAATTTCTGGAGTGGAAAATAATTTTTCTAGCTTTGTCGTTTTTCTGCTCCATAAAGCCCTCCTACTTGCGAGCAGCCCTGTAAAGTTACTTTAACCACGTGACCCAGTGGCCCAATAGCAGAGGAAGAGGTAGTTCCCGGATAAGGAACCAGAGGTATTTAGCATACCTACAGTCGCCATTGTGGGCACAAAGCGCTCTCTCTCTCTCACTGTCCGCTTGTGTCTCTTCATCTCTCCTTCTTTCCTCTTCTTCCCCCTGCCTCCCCCTCTCTCTGGTTTTGTTACCAAGGTAATTGATCTTGGGGACAAAACTAGTACCTGCTGACCAAGGGAAAAAAATAAAATAAAACAGGCAAAATCCATGGCTACCAATTATTCAAAGGGACAATGGTTGGCCAAAGATAAAGCACAACAATAGAAAACCAATCATTTTATTAGCTTGCACACTTTGCATAAAGGTTATTTGCAAATTAATGAAGGGACTTTCTTTTTTTTTTATCAGTGTTAGGTCAGCTGGGAAACCGACATCACATCTGATAGCCGTACTTTCCTGAAAATAAAAACAATTAAATTTACTTTCTAATCAGTTGTTCCCTTGAACATGCCTTGGCCATTTTATTCTATTTGTTTTGGCATTTTGCAGTAATCCTTTACTTAAGATCAAGATCAAATCTAACCTCTAGGCTTCCATACATGCAAATGCCTCTAATAACATACAAACACACACCCTGAAAGCTTCAAGAGGTTTAATATAATACTTTTATAGATCATCTTAAGGACTGTGTGGCTGAAAACTATTTCATGACATAAGCGTTTCATATCAGTCATATTAATAGTTATTGATTTTTTATGTCTTGAATATTGCCAAACTGATGCTGTGATTCTTCCTGTTTTATCCCGTTTTCACTCCACGCTATTGTTATTGTTGTTGTTTTTATTATTACCATTATTATTAAGCATATGAGCCATGGTGGCAAAACCTTAAACTGCTGCTGTGCAAGTTAGTCAACAGGTTGTTTCTAGGTAACTAAATAGTGAATGAGATAGTTGATGCACCAGCATTGCTCAACTGGCCCTGATAAGTTGAGTCAACTAAGGTGTCTCAAATGGCAAACCTCTGCCTACATTATCCATAAGGCTTTGCGGTTCTGGATCAAACGTAGGCAAAACATTTTTTCAGACATATCTATTGATATTAATCACTTGTCTCTGGTGATACACATTGTTATTGATTTATTGTCCAACCATACTATTATGATTATATAAATTTCACAAGTATCTTCACAAATAATGCAGCGAGCTCACAGCTTAAAAGGAAACAAGCTAAAAATTTAAGCAAGCTCTTTTACATGCTACTCAGCCTCAGCTTTTATTTCCAAAGAAATGTTATTAATTCAGTTCTGGTATCCAGTATTTAGATTTACATGACTTCCAACAGGATCCATTATTGCATGGGATCAAGAACTTTGTGTTTTGGTCAGAGGTTAAGGGTAATGTCCAAATGTGTCAAACAAACAAATAATAAAACAAGTAAGGGAAACAAAATAACAATAAAAGAGACCTAATGAACTGTAATTCACAACCTTGTGCTGCTAACCGGGGTGTTTGGAAAACCTTTTAAAAAATGTAGATTTAAGACTTTTTAAGACCTCTCTGAATCCCTGCAAAATGGAGCAAGGCTGGAACATATACTGAGTAACTCTGTGGATCTCAAATGCAACTCAGCTGCTTCAGAATCTGGGTTGAAATCTGCCACGAGTTACTCTCCTCTCACAGTGCTGCACTAATGCCAACACACCAGTTTGAATCTTCTACCTGTTGTGATGTCATCAACTGCAAAACAGACTATGTAGACTTACCATTTTTTGTATCTGAAGTCTGCTTTTTAAAAATCTATATTTCTTGTGCAGTTCATAGTTTATTATCCAGCTGTATTTTTATCCTCAGTGTATATTTGTTATATACCTATGGATAGTGTCTTTAATGCTTTTAAGAATTAGAAGAACTTCTGAGAGTCACTTAAAGTGATTTAAATGCAGATATAGGTTTGTGGTTCAGTCTGTAACAGAACATGTGAGATGTGAGATGCTCAGGAGATGTGGTTTAATTCTCAAAGCAGACCAACCAGCAAGGTAAGAACGCCAATGAAGATACAGCCTAAAAAAAACAAACAAATAATAAAAAAACAACCTTCACTTTTACATTATTATGTTAAACCAAACATTTATACTTCAACATTTAGAAAGATTATGAAAAAGCATAATTTTCAATATAATCCCAGAAAGGCAAACATAGAAAAAATCATACATCAGAATTCCCAAGGATTTAATGATGGACAAAAATAAAATTCAAATCAATCAACTACAGAAAACATAAAAGTAGATCTACAAATGGATAGAAAGTGTTGTGCACACTACCAGTGTTTTCAATGAAGAGTCAAGGCAATCATTTTGTATGGTAAGTCTGTTAAAATAGGAGAACCTACTTCCTAAGGATGCAACAGGCCCTTCAGTAAAACAATTTTGCTAAATATATAAGTACAACTCATTTAGCAAAGCAAGTTTCCAATCACAAAGCTGGGGTCAATCTTAGTTACACACCTGACAGTTTTTAAAATCACAAATATCATAAGGCCACCACACATGCAGGTCTGAAAGAGGCAATACAAGAATTCCAAAAGATTCAACTACTAAAATTCTGCATTAAGTAGAGATGACTATTAAGCTACATGTGGTTCTTCAGATCAGAAAGTCGCAATCAAGAGAAATCACTAATACCTTAAAGCCTATCTAAATAGTCTTCTTAACCCCATGTTAATGTATCTTTTTACTTCATTCTTTGTTTTGACTTCATTCATCTGCTACTTACTGCACATGATGGGAATTAATAAAAGTACAGGATACAGTAGGACGTTCACCTGCATCCTTGACGATGGTTAAGACAAAACACCACTACGTGCCACAGCTCATCAGTAAACTGCTGAGGGGGGTTGTTAAATAACATAACATCCCTTATATACACAGCGGTTAGCTCAAATAGCAACATTATGTTTAATTCTTCGATTTCAACTATCCAAATGTTTACGACTACAGGGCAATATTTCATCTCAGCTGTTACTAAGCTAATCCTGGCTAAAGCCCTGACCATGAGTTACATGACTTGTGGTTGACTTTTATGTTGTAAACTGATGCTGTCATGCTGCCTCAACTTGGCTTCCCATTCTTCTCTCATCTCTTCAAACATGCTACTTCTCCACATACCCTAATCTAGCCTAATATAATAATAGTAATAATAATAATAATAATAATAATAATAATAATAATAATAATAATAATAATAATAATAATAATAATAATAGATTTAAGTCTGCAAAATAAATATAGGTCAGTATTTTGGCCACTGTCCAAACCAGGGGATCCATTTTCTCAGTCATAATTACATAATAAGTTTAAAAACGATGTGAAAAACGCATATCATAACTCTGGCAGTACTGTTTGTAAAGAATGCGCACGACATTTCTATTACCCCTACCGAGGATGTTAGAGGCGTTTTATAGAGCAATAAAAGCCGTAAATCAGTCACTTTTAAACGACCCCTGGTTCCCGGTGTGTTTTACAGGCTCTGACACAGTAGTAGCCGCACACCGCTCATGGCTCCCTTACTCTGTGGCCTCTCCAGCTGCCTCCACAAAGTGAGGATCTGTGTGGACTATGAATACACTCTGTGACAGCGTAATTGCATTGTTACAGTGCCTGGCTGTAAGGATCATCGTGGGTGCTTCATGTGTATGCAGAAGCAAGGCAAAAAGACAGAGAGACGTGCAGGAGCAAGAGTTAGGTGCAACGCAATCCATTGGCTGGCGAGGTTTTCCAGTTGCCCATGTATTCCTGTAGAGACGTATTTGCGAATGTTTGTGCAGCACGCAAATTTGGTTCTACAGGGTACATATAGACAACTAATGTGCTTTCTGTTTGAGGCTGCAGAGGTGAACTGTCGGGTAAACGTCGGTGAAAGCAGGTTATGGAAGAAGCATGCCTTTTCCGAGATGTTTTCGGGGCGGCAGTGAGTTCACAACCACGCAGAGCTGATGCGCTTCATCTGGACGAAGCGACACGAAAGCATTTTTTTGTTTGTTTTCTGTTTTCCCTCGTTAAAGAGATCTATGCGCAAACACGCGCGAGTGTATGCGGGCACACATAGAGAATGCGGAGGCTCTCCTTTCACAGCATCCTGCCTTTGAGGTGGCTCCTATATGAATATTCAGCCACAAACACGGCGGATACAAAAGGACGGCGTGACAGCAGCAGATGAAAAATAAGTTCCCATTGTTCCCAGCCATTTCTTCTGCTCGCCATTACCATTCTGACCGCTCCGTAACCTTTCTTCCTGACACTCTGGAAGCTAATGAGAAAAGCCTTGGATGAAAAATGTTACATTGGACATGTGACCTGTTTTGAAAGGGGGGGGGGGGGGGTAGAGGGGAGGATTAAAAAAAAAACAGCAAATAGATTCTGAATCAGTTGAATTGATAAAAGGAGAGAGGCATAAACAAACAAATTGATGCACATCTTGATCTGTGTCTTTTTATGCAAATCATTTTTTTTGTATTAATTGATTAAATAAACAAGCTGTGAATTCTGTATGTGACAAATGCAATTCAGAAAACGTTCCCACTTGGCTGCGTGGTATTTTCATCTAAATACATGATATTTGTCGTGCACCCAACCGATGTGAACGCCACGCTCTCCCTCTCGCCCCATGAACTCATGGCGAGCGCATTTTAATATTAGTTAGACAGCCTGACCCGCGTTTCACCCCTCGCGTTTGACTGCTTCCAATAGTTCACTGCCAAGGATTATTGATGGAGAGACAGCGATGAATTCTTTCTCCCCTCACAAATGGCTTTGAGATCGTGCACCTAGTTCAATAACTAGTTATAATGTAGAAGTACAAAAAAATGAGACCCTCAGGCGGACTAATTTGATGTTTCATTTGTTCATTTGAGGAATTGTTAAGCTTCCACGCCGAACCCCCACCCCTCCACGCACACCCCTGCAAAACAACTCTTGTACATGCGTGTTCACGCATGTGTCCGTGTAAACAGAAAATTCATCAGAACTCCACAAAAGTCGCAGAGTCGATCACGTTTTTTTTTTTTTTTTTTTTTGTGTTGATGTTTTGTTTTTACTTCCAGTGTCCTACTCGCTGACCTGAATGCAGAGACCGCAGCAGTGTTCGCTGCTCCCTGATGAAAACGGTTACGATGCGCTTTTAATCAAACCCTTAATGTAATAGCCTCCACTCGTTTACCCTCCCCAGGTGTAATAACGTTAGGCAGAGATGGTCCAGTTAAAATAAAAAATAAAAAATAAAAAAAGGTTTTAATGAAGTGCAGACAGACTGGAGACCAGTTGCCTGCGTATGCCGGTGGAAAGCGACCGCCAGGGGAGCAGAGGTGCTTTTTCAGAAACTGGATTCCCCCACACAAACCGCTGCGGCGCTGCAGCTCATTAGACCCGAACCGTAACGTTACGACATATATGAGCTCGTCAACAACAAAACAAGTAAACAAACCAAAAAAAAAGAACAAAAGATCGTTAAATGGCTTCATGGATATTTTTGAAAGTTTGTGTTGTAATTTGGATATAGGCAGAATAAATTATTACCGTCCAAGTAATGGGAATTTCTCTTCAAAAATGGTAAATATGACAAATAAAAATATATATATTCATATCTGTTCCACGTTGTAGAATAAATATTTTAAAGTTAAATACATTTAGTAAGTTACGTGTAAATTTACTAAATTCAATGTGACACATTGAAAAGCATGGGTTATTTGTCGTCTATCACAAGATTAATTATAAGGAATGATATTCCTGAAAATAAAAACCAGTGGAATGAAAGACAACAAACGTAACGTAAGACAATTCAAACCCAATATGTTCCTTTCCCAATGAAGAGGAACGTATAGAACCAAAATAGAACGAAGTGTTGACTTTTTTTTCCTGTTCACTCTTGTTATTTTTATCTCAATAATATTTTGGCCTGTTAATCGCGCATTTCTGGAGGGAGACTGCACGGAAAATGTGAAATGTTTGAGCGCCTGCAGAACAGAGACAGTGGAAGGAATTTAAGACAGATCGTTTTCAGACGATAAAACTAAATTTACAAGCAATTTGGTATTTCCTTGGGCAAGAGCTACTATGAATAGAAGTCCCTAGACTTCAGCGCCTGTGAATTATGGCGAACAGTCAATAAAATAGAGTCACGACTTTGTCTTCACATTGTAAATAAAATCAGTCCGTGTTCGGAAACTGTGCAGCGCAGATCTCTGCCTCTTGTTCGAGCCCCAGACAAAGGGAAGTCTATGCTCACCCGGAAATGACCTCTGTGGGGTTGAAGGATGGCAGTGTCAGCTCCGTAGGTCAGAGAAAGGAATACAAGAGCGCAGAACATGACAGTGAAATCGGATGTTTGGGCCGGTTTCACTTTTAGAATGAAGTTTTTGAGTTGTCATGAGCACCTCTGAGGAATTTAGTCAAGCGTCTCGCAGAACGAAAGGTTAAAATACAGCACGCACATTGCAGGTGGACAAACGCGCACGCCGGAATCCCCGTTAAGAAAACAGGAAATAATCCTCATACGTTTTCTTTTACTGATCAAAGCATTTAGGCTGGGATTCCTGATAGTTTCCTCACTCAATTATAGCGAATCCTTTCTAAAAATAAAGAGAGTTCATCAAAAAAAATTAGACACCCCCCGGAGTGCATCACTCATACAGGAGTATGTTACACAGTGCCCCCTATTGAAAGTCTGTGATTGATCTTCTGCACCTGGAAACAAAATCCACACCTTAGGATTGGAAATTTGGAACACCAAGTACAGCCAACCCGACACATTCAAGACAAAAGCAACCACAATAACCGGAGAAAGTAGTTGCGGCCATTGCACCTTGTTAACTTTGGGGAAAACTCATCCATCTGAGGTTTAATATCAAAAAATAATTGCGCCTCCACACATTGATTAGGAGTGGTGAACTGTTTCTGTAGGCGGAGCTGTTTGCTTAGGCATATGGGTGATTAAACGTCGTCTCCAGCTGAGCAACAGAAAACTATTGAGGTCATAAGATGTCATTGGCTCATTAGTCTCCGGGTAAATCAAACTGGATATATCTGCTGATGTCCACGAGGACACAAACGGCGTGAAATGTGCAAATATTTACTCCGTTTTCACTTCACAGTCACAATGTGTCACTCAAGATAAGATCCGCAGATCGGCATGGTCAGAAAATGGCCATGAAACCACGACGACGACAGATTGCAACTACAAACGCCGTGAAGACCGCAGTGTCAAGGTGGAAAAACAGAACAAGTCGCATGAATGTTTTGATCGTGTTTTTACTGTAAACACTTGTTTTCTCTACTGCTTTTTACCGTATAATATGCTAGATGCATATCATTGTAGAAAAAACCCTTATAATAATAATAATAATAATAATAATAATAATAATAATAATAATAATAATAATAATAATAATAATAATAATATTTCTGACTTCAAAATAGTTGTTACTTGAATTGGAGAAGTTATTTATAGTAGTTTACACTACTTTTTTTCAGCAGAGAGTAATACTAACAAACATTTTTTTAAATTTATTTTCTTTTCCATTATTAGTCGTGTGCTGATGTGCAAAGTTGGTCCAATTTTAGTGCAGAGGTGCGACACAAGATTGACAATTGTTGACGTTGACGAGTTGAGGCTTTTTAGCTCTTCCAATAAAGTCTGAACTGAAAACAAACCCGTCTTTCTTTCGCAGCACTTTTTTTTCAAATAGTCAAAGCTACAAGAGTTTCAAGTAACTTATTCAAAAATGTTTTATTTCTCAAATTGCAGGATTGATTGAGGAGTGAGTGGGGAGGAGGACGCTAGGAGAATTTTGAGAGCTCTTATTTTTTAATTTATATACAGTTATTTTTTTATTTTAATTTTTTTGCTAACCACTACTGTGTTTCTTTTGAAACTTTTATTACTCTCCCTATTTATTTTTACATAGGGGATTTACAACTGTAAACAAACTGCTGCAGCCCATTTAAGCCAGCTTTAAGATAATCGGAGTGATTTACAAATTTAGACATTCAATGCTTGATTCTGTTTGTTACAGATAAACAGAAGAGCGTTTTTAAACCCTTAGCAGAAACGCAGCTCAGTGGAGCCATCATTAGTTTTTCTAATTAGGTTTATA